GGGGGGGGGGGGAGGGGGGGCACTCGCTGTCGGACCGGGACCGCGCGGCGCCGCCGATCGCAACGGCCACACGAAATGCACAGAGCAGACCGAACCGGAGTCATTCTCGTTATTATCTCACAGCGGCGGGATGACGCGACGTGTTGCACGCGCGCGTGGCTGTCTGTTTTTCCTCGCGAGCCGCGAGCACGGTTGGTGTGCGGCCGTATTGCATCACCGCGCCTTGGCCTTGGGAGAAAGTAGATCGCCGCGCCGAGGCATCTTCAGGAGGAGGAGGAGGAGGAGGTGGTGGAGGAGGAGTGAGTGATCATGTAAATCGCCCCCTGCTCCGCGCACGGCGGCGACCCGCGTCCCTCTCCTCCACACACGTGCGCGCGCGACGACAGCTCCGGCCTTCGCGAAACTATTTTAACAACTTTTAACACTCGCGCGACCTGTTGGCACGTCCTGCGGGGCGTGTTTATTAATGCCGTCGCAATTGAGGCCGATAATGTAATCGCAAATGTGTGTGTGTGTGTATGTACGCATTCGCACGTGTGTGTGTGTGTGTGTGTGATTACTTTGCGACGGAAAAAAGAGGAGGGAGCGAGATGTAATTTTTTTATCGTTGTAATAACCCCCCAGTCCATTTACATTCATCGCATCGAGTCCCACGCGCATTTCTTCCTGGGATCCTGCGGGTCACATCATCAGATCAGGTCTATCAATCGTCTATGCCAGTGTAGTAGCGTCCCCCAAAGGCTAAGAGGTACACACACGGTCTCGCCCTCTTGCGAGTCTCCGCAAACAACATGACGTCAGGTATGCAGCACCACCGGGTCCACCTCGGGGCCTACCGGGCCCTCCTCCTCCGCCCCGTTGCATATGGCCTTTACGCCGACATCATCATATCGCCATAAGTTTGTCCGCGCGCCGCCAACCGCGCGCGGATATCGTTTATATTATTTTGCCATACGTTTGACGATGAGTTATTTCGACTAGTTTCGTAATTCGTGTTACGTATATTTTGTCCAAGCCGCGTCATTTTTCTTGTTTTTTTCCTTCTTTTTTCGCGCGGCAATTACGTGATTGTGCGAACTTTGGGCGAGTATAAAAAGCATATAGGCTAGCTGCATTTAAAAAGGGCAGCGCTTTCTCGATAGAAGATGATAGAAGAGAGGACGCAGCCTGCGAGAAATATGCGCAGGAGAAACGGGCGCGATAAAAATTAAACGCCCCCCGTGCAAAGGCGACTAATTGAGATTTAAGCCCGTAATCGTCGGCGGTTATGGGGGTCTGCGCGGGCGCGAGGGCGTTTGCTCCAAGAAGAGCGTGTGATGTCCTACAAGATGGCTCTTCTTGGCGCCGCGAGCGTGTTCGCGTGCAGCGCGTGCCGGGACTGGCTAAAGCTAAAGCCCGGCCAACACGGACGGGCCGCGGGCAGCGCGCGGCGAGCGTGTAGTTTTCCACTCCTCCGACATGCAGCGCAGCACGGATAACAAAACACACGACGACGACGACGCGGCGCGAGAGATGTATACGCGACGGCTTGCACTCGCTTCTCACTCTTTCTGGCAAACGACGACGACAACGCGGAATCCCCGCCAAAAGAAAAAGCCCAGCGCGGGAAAACGTTTTTGTTTTCTTCCTTGTTGTGCGCGCGCGATCCTATGGAGGCTGCCCGGCCGCGGCCGCCGGAGCGGACTCATTTCACGTATTATGCAACGGAGCGCCGAGCGCGCGGCTCGGGGGGCCCTTGGGCCAGGACCAGTCTGAAATGCAAATGACTGCGTCTCTCTCTGTCTGGCGGTCCGTCCACCCGTTAAGTCCGTCCGTCTGTCCGTCCGTCTGTCTGTGAACACACACACACACACAAACGCGCGTAAATAAGGATGCGTTGTTTCGCACACCGCTGAACGGTATTGTTCTATGGCGACGTGTGCGAACAAATATATCGCAGTCATCGCGGCACGCCGCAAGCGGTCCTTGCAAAAACACGCGGCGTGGCTATGTAGGGTCGCCCAAAGACACGCCTCCTGTTGGCGAATTGGCTCCTATTGTGAGCAGGCTGGTGCAGCAGGGCCTTGTTGTGGCTGGGCCGAGGGCTGGCCAGAAGGGTGACTCGACGAAAAGCCCGCGCTGCTGTGTGCACGCGGCGTCAATACGGAGCACCCCCCGACGGCCTCGTTCGATAGTCTCGATTAGAATCGATCCATCGTTTGATTTTAATCGATCCTTGCGTTGCGAAGCGCTCTCTGGCTGCGACCGTCGCGGCTCGGCGCGGCGGCGGTAGCTTGCATTTAATCGCCCGTGGCGGCAAAAAGGCGATGGCTTTTGTCTCATTGATGGATGGTTCGGGAGGGGATTCTCATAAACCAACACCGTCGTTCAGACACTGTACAGTGTCGCACAAATTAGCGCGCTCTGCTGCCGCTGTCGTGAGGGATCATCCCGAAAGTAACGACCGTCATTCGCCCGTTAGCAAACCTGTCAGGTTGCGCCTTGCCTCGGCGTGCTCTCATAGCGCCTGATGGGTAGGCAACATCTCGTCTGCACTGCATGTGTGTTCTGCGGGGTGGCCTACCCCGAGTCTTGCAGGCGTCAAGCTCCCGTCGTAGTTTGACAATGAATCAGAAAAGAAACGGATGCGCTTTTTGTACGATCCCTATTTCTCTCTGCCTTTGTCACAGCACCTGATGTTACAATAGCCAACAATAGCTACAATAATTCTCTCTGCGTTTGTTACAGCATCTGATGAGCGGCTGGTTCATGGACTACAGCTACAGTTGCCAGCCCGTCGACTACACCAACAGTCAAGTGGCTCTGAGAGTGGGTATCGCGCCAGCTTGCCAGTAGCGTCACGTACGGCGAATAAAACACGAGTGACTTGACTGACGACGGTAATATCCCTGTTGCAGATGGCCCATCTCTGCTGGTGGTATTACATATCCAAGCTGACGGAATTCACTGATACGGTAAGGACATTGTCTGGAGAACGGTGCGGTAACGCACCCCTTCATCTCATCAAAATCATCTTCATATCATAATCATATTCATGCAGTATCATATGCATTTCTTGCACTCGAGGCAGAGGTATGTGGAGCGGACACGGAGAGCCGTGGCGAGAGAGAGAAGTGAGACGGTGGGAGGAAAAGAAAAGGACGCTCCTCATCCCTCTAATGTTGCTTGTCGGAGCAAGAAAGGCGCATTTTTTACAATCATTATGCTTTATTTTTCATGCTGCATGTATCATCGTCATAAACTACATCACCCATACCATCGTCATCGTCACCCCGCCGTCAGCAACGTCGCCCAGTGGGGGCTAGAGTAACGCAATGACTTGGCGCCCTCTCGGTCGGTATCTTTTAGGCGCCAGTCCTAAAGCGCGCGAGAGAGAAAGGCCCGCGCGTCCTCGAGACCAAAGCGGGAGACAGAGAAAGGAGACACAGAAGAGAATCATGAATTGAATTATTGGCTTTATGGCGAGTGCGCGCGGCGCGGTCGCGCCCGTCTCGTCTCGTTACGGCGAGGCGCGGCGGCTCCGCTCGCTCGGACAAAATCACGCGCTGACCGCAACCCTTTCGCAGATCTTCTTCGTGCTGCGCAAGAAGGACAACCAGATCTCCCTGCTGCATCTCTACCACCACTCGCTCACCCCCATCGAAACCTGGATCTGCGTCAAGTTCCTCGCCGGTGAGTGTCCCCACCACTGCCGCATCTATTTTGCTTTTCACTCAAACAAGCCTTGCTTTGCAACAATCATGAATCTAACGACCCGACCCCATGACCGCAGGCGGCCACGGCACCTTCTCCAACCTCGTCAACAACGCCGTCCACGTCATGCTCTACGCCTACTACATGGTGTCCGCCATGGGCCCCCAGTACGCCAAGTACATCTGGTGGAAGAAGTACCTTACCAAGACACAGCTGGTGAGTACCGATCAATGGGCCAGAGCTCATTCATTTCGTCAGAGCTGCAGAATTCCAGGAGGCTTGGCCTGGCCACCCTCCAGAGGCAGGTCCTGGAGCCGGGTACCTCTGGATCCTGCGGGCCGGGACCTGCTGTAACAGGTCGGTCGGCAAAGACCTTGAAAGGGTAGCCGCCGGAAAAAGGAGGGGAGAGGGGGGCAGAGAGTAGGTCACTTTCGGCAACTGGAGCTGAGAGAGCTCATAAGATGGGCGCTGTAGTTGTGCGTAAAAGTAAGTGATCAACACGAAGACGGTGCAGCGATCCGCCTGGCCACGCGCTGCAGCAGAGAGAAGTCCCGGCCAAGAGAACACATTCCTGGCAAGTTTTGCGCCGCGCGATCGTATCGATTAAATCCGCGGACCCTGACCCAATTCTCCCGAGTGTGCGTCGTGCGTGAGCTACCGGGCGGGGAGTGGCAGTCCCGGGCAGGGAGGGGGAAAGGGGGGACCCTCACTCGACCGGAGCACCTCCCCGTCGAGCCGCGCGCCGCAGCCCGCCTTAAACATCCTGGAGCCGGTGTGGGGCCGAGGTGCACGCTGCGCCCTGCCCAGCCCGGGGCGGGGCGGGGCGGGGCGGGGC